CTGATAGTTGAAGATAGCAGCCGTCGACGAGATCTGTAAAGGTGCCGCCGAAGCTACACTTGAGGCCGGTCGCTCCGAACGTGGCATCACAAAGCCTGGAAAGCATAGAATTGATAAGCAGCCGGTGCTGTGGACAGACGCTGTCAAAGTAACGGTTCGCGACAAGAGGAGGCGCTACTAAGCGTTTCTCAAAAACCAGTCGGCTGATAGCTGCCGGAAGTGCTGATACTGCAGCGAGGGAGGTTGCAGCTGCTGCAAAAACCGCCTCACTTCGAAGGTGTCACTAAGAAAGGATGGAGAGGGACCTGCTTACGTGCATAGGGTCTTCATTACCAGAATGAAGATATAAAGAAACTTTCTAGTGACAACGACAAGGATGGTCGTTTTTTGATGAGTTGAAAACGAGCGACGAGGCAATCTTGGCTACATTGAGAACATTTCGACCGTGGAATAGCCACGTCTGGCCATCTCTATCGTCTTGCCACTATGCGGTCCCGTTTAGGGGATAACTGTGAAAGAGATAGAGTGGCTCTTAAGAAGACGAAGGCAGCTAGGGCAACAGGACCTGACGATATGGTATCCAATCTGTGAAAGTCACAGCGCTGAATGCTGCAAAATGGTTGACGAAGAGTCTCAAGACAGCAAGACGATTTCAATTCGTAAGGGAAGAGGCAGTCTGCATGGCTACCTTTTCCCTAACGCCCGGTCCTCGTCTTCTCACAAAGCATCTGAAATCCTCGAGTAAAGTCAACAATACTCGTAATATCGTTTCTCTCGAGTGAGTGTTGCCATCTAGCCATCTCGTTTCCTAGGCCTGGAAGAAGCATTCGCATCGTGTTCCGGGTGAAGTTATATGGTACGCCTTGCGGCAACACGGCGTTCCCGAAGAGCTTATCAAGTGGGTGCGCATCTTGTAGTGCAGCTCGAACAGGCGTACATAAGCAACAGGCTCTTGGTGGTACCTCATACATAGACGTCGGGGTACATCATGCGCCCCCCCCCCCTTTTTTTTCGTGGATCTCAAGAGACCGATTTGTTGGAGATTCCGCTACATTGATGGTGTGGTGCTTGCCAATGGGTGCATGCTTGGCCTGATCGTCTGAGGACTCGAGTTAAAGGTAACGAAAAGAAAGAAAGAAGAAAAGGTAACGGGTGAGTGATAATATCACTTTGTCTACTAAAAAATTTTATTGAAAATATGATAGCCCTTATTACCAGGTAACAGAAATTTCTTTAAACTCAACTCGAAAATTTCCTAAAACATTTAAGTATTCACTAAAACGTTTTTTCAAAAAACTTTTTAAAAAATTTTTTGATTCTGTCGTATTTAAACTCGTTTTCCTACCCTTCCTTACTGATGAGCACGGAGGGAGGATACCGTGATTGTCTAGCTTCCGTCTAAGGGCACGTGCGAAACGGAAACTAGACTACTTCCTTGAAACCAATAAAGATATAACTAAAAGATATATAAATAAAAGATAAAAATAAAGTTAAATTTTAATGTTTCAGTATATGTATATTATATCACAGGTTTGAACATCAATGTTATAATCATAAAAGTAAACTGATTAAATAACATGAAAATCACATTAAAACTTGAGGAAACCAATATTTGACGATCGGCTCAAACGAATCCGATTTCATAAGATCAGTGGAAGATCAGTATCACGTATTAGGTTGGCGAGGAAGTTCTGTCACATCCTTTCAAATTACGCATTCTTTTTATAGAGAGGCTTGTAGGATCGAAGTTATAACAGGTCAATGTTGCTGCGAGGTTCTTGCGTTTTGAGGCACCATGCCGATGCCATCGCTTCATAATGCAGTTGGGCGCGACGCAACTTGGACATCATCTCAATTTGGACTTGGGCTCGGGTCGAAGGTTTTCTCGTCCATATAAGGGTCAAGTATGGGGGCAACTGGCAGTTAGAAGGAGCAATGTCTGGGCTACACCGGTGCAAGGGAGAGCCATTCAGCTCTATTGCATGAGGTACGGCTCGAACTTTTTTGGACGGAGGAGGCTGCACTGTCACTCAAAGACCGACTGTGCAGAAAAATTATTTCCCTTTGATCGATGATTCGCTTCAGATATCGTAGCTGCTTTGTGCACGGGTTCACCGAGGAAGCAGCTTCTTCATCCAGCAGTTTCACGATTCGCGCAGCTCCAAAAATCGGAGTTTTCAAGTGGAGACGGCCAACCTCATTCGAACATCAAAAATTGTAGGCTCCCGCTTTGAAGCATTAGCGTCGTGGAAGGTTGTCCGATAATTGAGGGCATCGTCCTTATTCAGCTCCATTATTTTGGCATCTGCAGCTATCATGCTGGCGTAAGGATAATGGAATGAAAGAGTTTTAGGAAGCGCTTGGAGGGGTCGGTGCTGATGGCTAGCGATTAATACTTGTCGCATATTGCAGAAGAAGAAGAAGCAGTAGTCAAGCGAGTGGTTACTAATAGAAAGACCACTCCTTGATGTATAAGTGCTCACATTACCGGTTACCCCTCTTCAGGTAATGGGCAAGTATTTTGAGTTCGAAAAAGTATGACAGAACTTTCCCGCCAACTTAATACAAAAACCTTCGACTAATGTCGCATTGAAAATTGTGTTTTGAAATGGCAGTCTGAACTTACCACTAGGGATGTACACACGCTTGTGCGCGAATTGGCCTGAATAACGCTTCATGATTGGGGTTCTCTGTGGCAAGACGCACCGGAGCGCCTATCGAACGAGTCAGACAAGTGTTCGGCCGGAGGCTTATCGAGACAGAGATCAGGGACGGCTGTACGGAACTGAGTTTCTGGCTGCGACTGCTGGTCTCGAGGTGAAGCGCATGAAGAACGCCTTAAAGGGAACCAAGCAACGATTCGCTTGAACCAGACGCTACAACACACGGACTCTGGAATACCTGGAATTCCCTCCGATCAGGTATTTCATCTGGAAAGGTGGCGTCATCATATCAGAAGAGCGGATCTTGCCACAAGTGGGACCAACGTTGAGAAATAAGAGCTAGATGCCCAGTATCGCATTCAATTTTGTGGACAGCTCGGCATATCTTCGTGTGCTGTTCACCAGTACTGACTACCGCACGTATTTTCCATCCCAAAAGGCTACCGTGAGACCCTTATTGTGAACGTCCACGTGGGCGATCACGTGAATGGTAAAAAATGAACAAAGCAGCTCTGGGTATCCAATAAATGTAAAAATGGCGGCAAGTCGGTTTTTGTTATTTTTATTGTGAAAAGCATAGTGTGTCAAACGCCAGCTGATCTATGAAGAGCAAACAATCTCATTCGAAGAATTAGCCTTAGCAATGCCCGCCGCCGCTGTCTTCCATCCAAATGGATACCTATGAGGTTACCATAAAGAGCTGACTCTAATTCAAATGGGAGAAGAGCAGTCGTGAGCAGAAAGAAAGTGGAAATGCATTTCTCCCCATAAACATCACAGAATCTCTTTCATTGGGGTTCCTTATTTTGCGGAGCTTTTCGAGTGTTGAGGGGTCCGAATTGTTGGGAGACTTTGCTTCTCGATGAAAACAACTTCCTACATAGTCCTTCGTAAAACAAGGAGGATCGTCATCTTCATCCGCCCACCTACCTCGGAAGGGGTAAATTCGAGAGCGCGAGAATTCGAGTAGCCATGAGGTCAGCTCTGGAGTTAGGGAACAGTTCGACAGACATCGTGCCAATATGCTGAAGTGCTTTAAATCCTTTTGGAAAAGAACTTCTGACAGTTTTGAACAATCAATGGAGTTATGCCTGCGTTCGTCATCAGAGGAGGCGCTGAAGTGAGAACGTGATGATTTCTTCTAACCAACTGTATCAATAAATTTCGCTCGCTATGGGGAGTATAAAAGCCCAGCCCAGTTGGTTAGGACATCCGGGTTCCGAACTCGACTACACTCGCCAAAAATGTGTACGGTAAGTGTATATATGGACAACTACACCCGCACCATATTCATAACAAGCTTCCAGTTTTGCATTCTTCTACTGAGCCTTTGCGGTTTATCTTTTGGTTTCCGCGCTACTCCAGACACACGTACGTATTACAGCTTTTCTACTGAAGGGATTTCGATGACTCCCGATCATTACAGAGTCTTGCGGCAACGACCATGGCGATTTCATGGACGACACCACTCGTTACAAGCTCCTACAATATCACGATGGAACTCGAACTGTACTCGCTCTAGGAGAGTCGCCAGACAATAAAGGCGACTTTCTCCCACCCGCCAAAAACTTATTCAAGATGGTTAGCTTGATTCAAAAGTTATCAATCATTCATAGGTGATCTGCTTACGTCTACAGTTCTGACTGAAAGTGGGTCCAGGATACGTTTGGAAGGGATAGCGCGAGAAACTCGGGAAGCTCTGCATAGGTAGTAGAGGAACAAAGGCTTTTGATCTTTATTGAAGACTAAGAATACACAATGGATTCGCAGCTTACTCATTCATTCCTCTGACTTTTAGAGATGGAACTGCGCCCTCGAACAAAAGGCGAGGAAACGAACTCAAGGTTGTCCTGCGACCCTAGGAGGAGGACCAAAAAAAGGATGGAATTTCTACTAGTAAGTATAACAGCCCAGTTTACGCTTCAAGTGCTCTACTAACTCCACCAATTGCTCTCATCGATTTCAGCAACACTCTAGCAGCCTCTGACAAACAAGCAAAGTACCAGTTCCTAAGCGATGCAGTAGACGCGTGGCTCGCACCTACGGATAACTATGCCTTGGGACCAAATGCTACCTTTACTGACAAACGTTTGTACAGTTTCGCCAATGTAGGTTGCAAATTTGGTTCGGTTTCTTCTATTCGGGGTGATCCACAGAAAATCCTTTCCTAGATGGTATACGAGAAGATTTACGAAGTCGGTTGCAATTATGAACAATGTGAAAGCGGAGGCTTAACCAAAGCTTCGCTCATGTGTATCTACAATACCAAGTGAGGATCATGAGCAGTTCCTTGATAGAATGTTGCAGACCGTTCACATACTCCATTTCAGTGTTCCCTTGTACACAAAACTGTACGAAATAGGAAGCACGAATCAGACTATTGCGGGTTGTGCATGGAATAATGCAGTGTGTAAACATCTTCAGCTACCTAATCCGGAACCTGCCATATGTGACGATCTTCTCTGCAAATTGCCTTACAAGGTTCAGAACGGATTCCTCTGAGGTGATACCGTCTCATGCGCGGATGCTAAATAAACCTTTGCGAATTGTTCTTTGTAGACCCAGGAAACTGAAACAGCGGATTGAGGGAAGCAAAGAAACCATGTTAGAAAGTTTTATCAATCCAAACTGTGGATTCTATACTAGAGACTGAACTATGCTATACACGTAGAAGTGCAGTTTTATGAAGCACTCAGTTAGTGGAGGGGATGAAGGAAACTGTAGATCGCTCATTAACAATCTCAGCGGACTCTTGCGATTTGTTGCCTTCTTTTACCCAACTATGAGGAGTTAGTTTGGGTCAAATCGACATTTTGGCCCGATCTTCCGATCAAAGACTTCTTGAAGTGGAGAGAGAGCAAAAACTTCTGTTCCGAAAGACAGCGAACTCTCATGTTACTGAATGTAAATGGAGAGCCTTACTTTCACCTCGCGGAAGCACATTCTTTGATAGGTACCTCTTATGCGCTGACCCAGCAGTTCCAGTCGTATCATCCCCAGCATTTCAGGTATCACGTACAAATGCAGGAACAGTA